GTGATTCTAATGTGCAGCCAAGGTTGAGAACCACTGCTTTAAAATCTTTCCCATTGCTTGTAAACGATTGGAAATTGTTTGCTGAGCAACGTTTCATCTTTCTGCAAGTTGTTTCTGAGTTTGACACGCATCTTCATCCAATAATGCTTGTCATTGTTGGTCTTCAAACTTGTGCAGTTGACCTGGACGTTCTTGGTCTTTCACATTGAAATCGTCACTTTTAAAGCGTTTAAACCAGCGTTCACAAGTATCTTGAGATGGAGCATGTTCACTATAAGCTTTCCGAAGTATATGATAATTTTTTCTTCAAAATAATGAATTAAAACTTCCCACAAATGTTCTTTTTTTTGGCATGAAATTTGACATTTTTACGTGTAAAAATATCTATGATGTTAACACCTTCAGAAAATTTGACATATGAAATTTTGAAGCTTGTTGTCAACACAACAAAATAGCAGACATATCAAATTGCATATAAATCAACATGTGCATAACTCCGCCTATTGAAAAAAATCTGCATTATTAACCGGTACACCTAGTGGACACAGCCCTGGCTGGTTTGGCTCAGTGGATAGAGCGTCGGCCTGCGGACTGAAGGGTCCTGGGTTGGATTTCAGTTGGGATTGTGGGCTCGATCTCCAGTAGGGGGCGTGCAGGAGGCAGCCGATCCATGATTCTCTCTCTCCCTCTCCCTTCCTCTCTGAAATCAATAAGAATATATTTTTAAAAAGATAGAGACACAGAGTGTGTGTGGACACAACACGCTCACACACTTGTCCTTTTTCCCGTTTGACATCCGGCTCCTTGGGTCTGGAATGAGAAGCAAAGACCCGACAAGCTCGCGGGCAGCTCCGCGGCTGGGCCCGCAGGCGGCTCAGTGAGGTTCTGGGAGGAATTCGTGTCAAGGTCAGACTGCTGTCTGGAGTTTCTGCCCCCGTCCCTGCCCCCCTCTCCCCCCAGGAACTTTCCTTCACCTTCGAAGGCAGCCCTGGTGTCTGCCTGCAGCCGGGATTGTAGTCACTTGGGCTCGAAGGTGACACTTCACTTTATGAAACCAGATGGCCCGTCGGAAGGCGCCCGCCACGTTCACCCTGGTTCCGCCCCTGCACCCCCCGCACCTGCCCCCCCCCCCCCGCACCTGAGGAGGGGGCTGGCTTCTGCCCCTTGCCCGAGTGCCCGGGGGCACTTCCCAGGGCCCCGTTAACAGCCCGTCCCAGGAGCAGTCATGGGGCAGCGGCCCTGTCTCACCCGTCTGCCTGGCAGTGGGCAGCCCGTAGGCCCAAGGTCACACGGAGGACATGACCCAGAGCCCCTCCCCCACGGTGCCTGCTGCTCCCCTCCCTCCGTGGCAGCCCGGGGACTTGGGGGACTTGGTTTCCCTCCAGGGCTGGGAGAGCTGGAAAGAGGAGGTACTGGGAGGGACAAGGACGAGGAAGGCCCGTCGCCCCGGGAAGGAGGTGTGAGGCAGGCAGGGGAGCAGGGGAGGGGGTCCTGAGAGCCCCAGCCCGGCCCTGGTGCTATCTGGCTCTGCAGGCCCCTTTCAGGGCCCCCCCCCCACATGGGGCCCTGCAGCTTCACATGCTGGGACCGAGGCACCCCCCCGCGGTCTGCTGAGGCAGAGCCCTCCCTAGACCATGGCTGTCACGGACAGGCCAGCTGTCTGCCCAGTGGGGTGGCCCCGGGGTGCTGGGGGCCCTCCCCCTCCCCCTCCCCTGGAGACCCCCCTCCAGCCCAGGCCTCCGCCCTGGAACCAGGGGCTCCCCCCTGAGTTCCATTCCCGGCAGCCTGAAGTCTCAGTGTCCCCGGGAGGCTCGGGTCACTGGGCTCCCGGGTGGTGGGATCTAAATGGTAAAAGTGGGACTGTCCTGAGGACGCCTGCATGGCTGGTCACCTGTGTCCTTCTCCCCCAAACCCTCTGGCCCTGCAGGCGAGTCCCCCACACACCCCCACCTCTACCCCGCCTGGCTCCCTGCCCCCCTCCCCGCCCCCCCTCCCGGCCCTCGCTCAGGGAAGCACGTGATCTTGCTCCCTTGGTGTCCTGGGGCCCACACCCGCCCTGGCCCCGGACGCAGCCCTCCCTCCTCTGGCCCGGCCCTGGCGGCGTGGCACCGTCCACAGCGGACGCGTGAGGCCCGGGGCAGCCCCGGACGCAGGGCCAGATGGAGGAAAACCCCCTGGTGCCCCGTAGCCAGGGTCCACGCGTCTACCCCACCCCCCGGCCCCCCTTCCCGGGGTCACCCCGAGTCACAGGCTCACTCTCTGCGGGAACGTCCTGTAGCGGCTTTAATGCTCTCGCGGGAAGATGAGGCCAATTCCAGTCTCGATGCGCGAGTGACACCCTATTTATAGCGTCTGGGGGGCTCCTTCCCGAATCGTCCCCACAGGCCCCCCAGGCCCCCACATCCTGACACGTGCAATTTGCCCGACAGGTCTGTACGCCGCCCCCGCATCCCTCCAACCAGCGGGGGACAATGACGTGGAGGCGAGGCGGGCAGGGGGCGAGGCGGGCAGGGGCGAGGCGGGCAGGGGGCGGCTGCTGTGTGTGCCCAGGCCGCCGCATGCCCGGTCCCTGGAGTCTGGCTTGGCCCAGCGTTTGGCCCAGCGCCTCCGCCTGGTAGAATCCCTGAGGTGGACCATGGGTGGGGAGGGGGTACGACCCCACCCCCTTCAGGCGGTCAGAACCCCCCACTGGCCGCAGCCGTGACCGCGGCTCTCGGACCAACAGATGCCCAGCCCCAGGCCCCGCACACCACAGGCAGGGCCGCCTGCAGCGCCCAGTGAAGAGATGGGGCCGCTGACCCTCGCCCTGTTCCCCCTCTTCCTTCAGCCCTGAGCGTGGAGGGCAGAGGTGGCGTGCCCTGCGCTCCCCACACCCTGGGGCTGGGCAGCCTGAGGGTGGAGCCAAACAGCGTGTCTGCCTCCGGCCCCTGGAGGGAGGGGCACATTCCTGCACACGCACGAGGCCTTCCAGCAGGTCTGGCGCCGCCTATGCCCCCACTTCTACACCCGCCCCCACCTCCCCTCCCCTTCAGCTTCAGGGGGGGGTGGCGGGGAGACTCCTGGAGGCTCTGCGACGGGGACCTACTGTGGGCGGGAGCGGCCCTCCTGGCTCCCTCGCCCGTGGGGCAGTGTCAGCTCCGTCCCTGGGTGCCACCACACTGTCCCCACACCGGGGCGGTCACCTCTCCCCTCCCTTCTCCCCTCCTCTCCCCGTCTCCCCACTTCCTCCACGGAGAGCAGCAGACCGGGTGTGAGGGGTCTGGGCAAAACACAGGAGCCGGCAGTGGCTCTCGGCCTTCCTGACAGAGGGCGCTGGGCCTCCCATCAGGGGATGGCGGAGGCCAGGTGCCCAGCCTGGAGTCAGCAGGTGGGGCCTCGCGGCTGGGCCCTCGGCGGGCAGGTCCGAGCGCAGGCAGCTCTGTGGGTGCTGAGGCCGGTGGCAGCAGGTCCAGGCCCGTCCCCGGGTCGCTCACGCGTGGATGGCGTTGGCTACGTCGGTGAAGACCAGCCTGCTGGGCCTCTGCACCGGGCCCTGGGCCGGGAGGGTGGTCTGCGGAGAGAGTCAGGGCATCAGGGGCCTCGGCCAAGGCCACGCGCCCTCTGGCCCGGCCGCCCCACTCCCCGCTGCTGCCCAGGCCTCCCTGCCAGCTCAGCCTAGAAACCGGGCCTGGCGCAGATGGCTCCTCCCCACGCCATGCCCAGTGGCCTGGCAGCAGCACCCGGGCCGGGGCTGGTTAATGATGCATGCGCCACGGCTCCCGGGGAGCAGGGCTCACCTCACAGCCCAGCCCAGCACAGGCCCAGTGGCGGCTGCACAGAAAGCAGCTGGCTCTGCCTGAGCGTCGACCTAGGAACCAGGAGGTCACGGCTCGATTCCTGGTCAGGGCACATGCCCAGGCTGTGGGCTCGATCCCCAGTGGGGGGTGTGCAGGAGGCAGCCGATCTTTGATGCTTCTCTCTCTCTCTCTCTCCCTTCCTCTCTGAAATCAGTAAAAATATTTAAAAAAAAGAAAAGAAAAAGAAAAAAAGGAAGCAGCTGTCACAGCTCAGGAGTCCCATGGGCCGGCGACTGCGATCTCAGCCCCATTTCTTGACCATCCCCAGGGCAACGTGTCCTGAGCGCGGTGACCGGGACTGGTGGCCAAACCAGGGCGCCTCTGGACCCCCAGCCAGGCTTGGCCTGGGTCCAGTCCCCTAATTCTGCCTCTGGTAGGGCCAGACCCCTCCCCCGCAGCCTGTGGGTCAGGGAGGAGGGATGCAAAGGGCCTCCATGGGGGGACCAGGCCTCCTCCTGCTGCTGTGGCCCTTGGGGTTTGGGTACGGCAAGCCCATGACTCCGGCAGGAAGACCGCACAGGCCCCGCCCTGTGGACGTAGGAGGCGAGACCCACCGGCCTGGGGTCTGTCTGTTACCAGGGACCCATCAGTCTACTCAGAGCTGCGCTGCCCCCGGGGACCCAACCGCCCCCACTCAGGACCACGGCTCTCCCCAGCATCTGCCCCAGGCCCCTGGGCACAGGGGGAAGGAGCGGAGATTCGCATCCGCAGAGGAGCAGACTGGGCTCTGAGTGGCCAGGGGGCTCCTTGCAGGGCCTGGCGGGTCCCCGGGCTGCCCCGGCCTGGCCTCGCACGGAGGGGTGTGGGCCACGGAGCAATTCTGCCAATTTCTCAACAAACCTGACACCCCCCCCTCCCCGCCAACAGCGCCCGCAACCTCCTGGCAGGTGCTGGAAGGTGCATGAGAAAGGAAGAGGGAGGTGGGGGAGGGGGGTCATGGACAGGCGCGGGCTGGGGAGCCGGGCAGCGCCCACCTTGCCCTGCGGGGCCTGCGCGGAGGCGGCGTCCCGGCCGTGCTCCAGCAGCTCCTGCTCCAGCTCATCTTGCTCCTCCGTGGGGTCGAAGTTGTACATGGGCATGAGCTGGTGGCGTAGCTTCTCCAGCCTGGGGGGCGGGGCGGGGAGGGAGAGGCTGCTTGGGACACGGCAGGCCCTCCCCTCCCCCCGCAGGCCCTGCCGGCTGGCCAGCTGAGCCACAGCTCACGGCCACGCGAGGAGCCTGCCGTTTCCCCTGCGCCAGCCTGGGAGGCACCGTGTCAGAGCGGCACCTGTGGGTCCCAGGGGACTGCCTAGGCCCGGCCTGTGCCACCCACAGCTGCTGGGCGGCGGGGTGGGGGGAGGGGCCCGTGCAGTTTAGCCTCAGAGCAAGCCGGGGCCACGGCCCTGGGCCACGGGGTGGCCTGGGGCAGGTTGGTTGGGAGGGTAAATCCCCCACCCTCCCCCGTTTTCTTCCCCCCCCCCCGGGGCCATCCCAGGGGCCCACCCTGCCCGGGCGGGGGGAAAAACCCAGGGGGGGGCTCCCCCCTTTTCCTGGGGAAAAAAGGGGGTTCCTTTTAAATTTTTAATACTTTCCCCCGAAACCCCCGGAGGGAAGGGGGGGGCGGTGTGGAAAGGGTCTCCCCGGGAGGGACTCTCTTTTCCCACCCACATGCCCTGGAGCCGCCCGCACTGCCCCATGGGCTGGAGTGCTGGGAGGCGGGGAGGAGTTACCTCTTCTTCTTCCTGATGTACAGGACCTGCAAGAGAAGGGCCCCTGATTAGCAGCGGCCCCGGGCAGGGGACATGCTGAGGCTGGCGAACGGGAGACCGTGGGTCCCCAAGTCCTCAGGACCCCACCCCAGGACACACGCCTCCTGCACCTGTGTCTCCCTTTGAGGGTGTGAGAGGCCGACATGCCCTGGAGGAGCAGTGCGGGCAAAGGTGGGCTCGACTGGTCTTCCCAGGCGGCTGGTAGGCCCACCGCTGCCCGCACTGCCGCGGCTCCAGGCACTGGGCGCCTGCCTGGGACTCCTCAGGGCTGAAGGGGGAGGGCATCACTTCAGCACACCCCTCCCCCCACTTTTTCCAGGCCCAGTGAGCGAAGAGGACAGGAGACAGGCCCAGTCGGCATGGCTCAGGGGTTGAGCATCGACCTATGAACCAGGAGGTCACGGTTCGATTCCTGGTCAGGGCACATGCCCAGGTTGCCGGCTCGATCCCCAGTGCGGGGCGTGCAGGAGGCAGCCAACCAATGACTCTCTCTCATCACTGATGTTTCTATCTATCTCTCTTCCTTCCCCTCTGAATTCAATAAAAACATGTTAAAAAAACAAACCTCACTGTCCAGCAGCAGCCCCCCTCCTCCAGGAAGCCCTCCAGTGGAACACAGCCTGGCTCTGACCCGTTCCTCCTGGCACCCAGCATGGCAGGGCTGAGGCTGGCATGAGGGAGAGGAAGCAGTGCTCAGGGAACATCTATGGGCCTGTCTCCTGGTGCCCAGGAGCTGTGTCCTGCCCTCCATGCCTCTGCCCGTAACCCCCCCTACCCCTCGGCTTTGGCAAGAAGGCTGTCCCCCTGGCCCTGCGATGTTCCTCCAGGACCCAGGGCGAGGGACTTCTCCCAAGGTCCTGGGATAACAATCTTCCATGGAAAATTACAAGGCCAGGTTCTAGGTCCTGCTTGGCCCCTGAAGCTGGGGTGTCTCCGGCTGTTTAACCGCATGTGGGTGCCAAGGGGAAGCGCTGGCCCTCTGCCCCGCCCGCCCTGAGACACTGCTCAGCCCGCCTCGCTCTGGGTGTCACGTCCGGCCCTCTTGCTGGCCGGCACTCACTCCCTGGCTGTGATCCAGGGCCCGTGGGGCCATATGGCAACCTGGCCTCGGACGGACCATCCACAGCCTGCGTGTCAGAGCAACGTCCTGAGCTGAGGCCACCGGAGCCTGCGAGGGGCGCGGGCAGGAGCCACCGCTGCCAGGCCGCTGGGGGACCTCAGGGGACCCGCCCTGCCTGGCCTCAGCCTGCACAATCTCCAGTGATCCCTCAGGACGCTCTGAGGTCCCTATATCGTCCCAGAGGAAAAGCTCAGACCTTCGCCCTAGCTGGTGTGGCTCAGGGGATAGAGCGTCGGCCTGCGGACCGAAGGGTCCTGGGTTCGATTCCGGTCAAGGGCAGATACCTCATTGCAGGCTCCTCCCCAGCCCGGGCCCTGGTCGGGGCTCATGCGGGAGGCAACCAATCGATGTATTTCTCTCACGTCGATGTTGCTCTCTGTCTCTCCCTCTCTCTTCCACTCTCTCTAAAAATCAGTGGAAAAATATCCTCGGGTGAGGGTTAAAGAAAAAAAAAAAAGAAAAGCTCAGACCTCCAGGTGCAGACGCCAGCGCTGGCAGTACCCTGTGCACCAGCGGGGACCCTGCAGCGCCCCCACCCCCCAGCAGCCTCCATCCTCATGTCTGCCCCTCTGCCTTTCCCGTGACGTGGGCCAGGCTCCGCCCCGAGGCCTCAGCTCTGAGGTGGCCTCCTCGGTTGTCCTGACCACCCAGCCTGGAAAGGCGCCCCCCCACCCCGAGCCCAGTCCCTGTGCGCTTCCCTGGTGCCTCCGCTTCACATCTTCCACTCTCTGTAAGAGCCAGGGCAGGACCCTGTCTCCCTGCTCCATGGGGTGCTGACGGCTGATCCAGGGCAGGTACCAGTGGATGAATGAATGAACACGCCCGGGGCCTGCGTTCGCAGAGCCTCCGCCCAGACTCCGAGACTCCTGTAGCCCCCACCCTCATCGGCCGCCTGGGCTGCTCGCTGCTCACAGAACCTCCCGCCTCCCAACTCTGCCCCCCAGGAACCTCCACCCGGAAAACACCCTCCCCCTCCTGTGTGGCCTCCGTGGCCCAGCTCAGAGCACCATGCGTTTCTCAGACCTTCTCCGGTTCTTCCGCTTGGAGGCGGCCTCTCTGGTCCCTGGGCCCCAGTGGACAGGTGCCCGGGGAGGGGGAGGACTGCATGATCGCGAACAGACAACTGTCTTCGATCAGATTCTCTACGATCCAAACCTGACCCCTCCTCCAACGGAAGGTCACGGGACAGCCCAGCCGCCCGGCTCTCACCATGGCCACGGCCAGGCCGATCACCGTGATGATCCCAAAGGACAGGAGCATCGTGCCCACGCCGGCTGCGCCGCTGCCCACACCAGGCACCCTGGTGTCGTTAAAGCTGGTGGCTTCTGGGCCGAGGGCGGTGGGCTCGGAGGCGGGCCCGTCCGTGGCGGGCTCCAGGTTAGGCTCAGAGGTGGGCGGGCGGGTGCTGAGCCAGTCCCTGGCCGACAGGAGCCTGGAATTCATGCTGACGCCGAGACTGCCTGTGGCCACTCCCTTCTGACATCAGGAGGGTCCCAGCCTGTGGCCCGGCTACGCGTGCAGGCAGCCACCTCCTTGCATAAGGGGCCTCCCTGCTTCCCTGGATGCTGGAAAGGAAAGAGTAAAAAACATGAGGCTGCGGATGGGACTGGGTGGTGAGAGGAAGCCCCCTAAGTTCTGAAGGCACCGGGGAAATGCAGGTTGGAGGACAAGGCCAAGTTCAGGGGACATCGGGACACGTGCTTTATATAGCTGCAGCTCCCAGGGGCTTGAGGACGTGAAGATGAAGCCTTGCCCCTCTTTGTGGGGGAGATGGCCATGGGGAGCGCACTCACTCGGAAGC